ATTATTACCGCTGACCATCGCTGTTGGTGGGGCCCAGAAAGAACATGGCTGCCATCATGGCGGCGCTCTGCGCTCGAAAATGGGATGGAGTTTTTCAACCCTTCAGAGGTGAGTATATCTTATGTAAATTTTGCAAGAAAATGTTAAGTATCCATCATGCAGTAGCATTAAAATAACGCAACAGAGATGGAAAACAAGTCATGTTGCTGAATGGTGTTCCGCACGGGGGAATATCTCAGAAGGTTTCAACTGTCCATTTTGTGTGAACGAGAGCTGACTCCGGAGTCAGAGTACGACGTTTTCTAATGTCGAAAAATCGTGATTTTATACGAAAATTCCTCAACTGCAAAGCCAAAATAATACTTGAAATCGCTCGAAATTTCTAAACAAAGATATACTATTCTAAGAAGAACTGAACGAGTTATTTCGTTGAAATTCTACAGTAATTATTTCAGACTGCCGGGTATCTAGTGTTTTGAAACACTTCCCAGCTGCCGGGAATCTGGACACAATGTATTAGCAAACAAGCATGGTTTATTTAACTTCTCCTAACTAAAATACCCAACTTATATACATGCTGTCAGTCCAGATTTTTCAAACTGGAGTCTGATCATAATGGCATCCTTGTTTCATGTGTCTGTCCTGTTATCGATCGTGAATGTCATTATAACATTGCTCAAAGTAGCTGACTGACTGTGGATCCATCATATACAGCCAAGTATTTCTGGAGACCGTTTTTTTCAAATGTGTTATAATGAAGTTTTATTGTTTAAGTACACTGCAATCCAGTGGGCACTAGTTTGATCATGAGGATCTATATTTGCAATCAGGGTTGAAGAATACATGTTTATGACTGGTAACTTGTTACTGGAAAATACACCTGTCACGACAGATTCTACCCCAGTGTTTTCCTTTGGATATGCTTTCTCAGTCAATGTGCCTTCACCCATCGCAAACTTCCACTATATCCAGCTATTTTTCATTTTCTTTAAGAGTTTGAGCTAAGCTAGGGGTTGGAGGAGGGAGGGCGCACATCTTTACTTTTTTTAAACAGTAAAAAATTGATGGACTCGCATTCTATCCAAGGAGATAACAATAGTCCAGAGCTACAGAAATCAGAGTTTACAGTTAAATGCCCCCACTGTTGAGCCTGCAGACTCCTCCAGTCCCTAGGACTAGAAAAGTCTTGACTACCATTTATGTGGCACAGGTTTACCTGGAGTCATTATGCAGAGTCGAACAGCTGCTAAGAAATCTGCAGGACACTCAAGGAACAAGCAGAATCACAATAGGAAAAGGAAAGGCAAAAATTATGGACCAAAGAGATTTGATGGTATGCTAGACACCCTTCAACATTCATGTTTTACAATCATTATTAATAAATACAATTCATGACTGATAATTCAATAAAAACCATTAAAATTGAATGATGTTATATATCAAACATGACTAGATAGACAGTGTTTCATTACATTTCTATACACCAAGAAAAGAGTGAAAATACCATGTCCAGCAGAGTATTTTTGACAAGTCTTGAGGTGTTTGGAAATGCAATAGAAGACTGTCTCTTTTGTTTGATAAGCCTTCTCAACCGAAAGCAAAACTAAATAGAAAACAAAGAAGAAAAAGAAGCAAACATCTTTGCTGACTAAGAGCACATTTCTAAACAACATCAAGACAATAATTTCTTTTGTTTTATCTTGATGTATTATGAATGAATCTAGAAGGTCATTTCACAAACGTCACCGTAGAAGACAGAAATGATTACATAATATTTGATGTAATGGAAAGTCTAGGATATCAGACTATATCAGACTATAGAATATCAACTGAAGGTGATAGTTTATTGAAAACCATGTTAATGAGGAATAACAAACACATTATGACTTGACAAAAATATTTTACATACGGGGTTGGGAGTATTAAAGCCAATTTGGGTACAGTAAAAACCTATTACCAGAAGTGAGGGTTTTTTTCCTACAGTTGTCTTAAATCTAATACCAAGCTCTGGCTCAACTGAACTCACACATATTGTTATGTGTGGATGTAGAGATCTGTAATCAACGACTGCTCCTATTACAATTACTAGTATTATGTCAAGTTGATGTCTCCTGAAACGTTGACTTTTCAAATATCAATGCTTGTGGGAGCCAACTATACAAGCAAAACTTCATTGAAGAGTGCCACCTTTATAATCGCGTGGATACATCAGCTTAAATACAGATTCTTAGAGATCACACTTTACTTCAATAGGGTGCATATTATTACAGTCAAAGGCTGTAGTCTCGCTTACGGTCCAGTGGAAAACTAAAATTACAACAACAGAATTAAAATACTAAAAAACAAGTTAGTTCAAAAAGCTGATAGACTTTCTTTGTACAGGTCTTTAAGGCCTTGTTTGTGTTGACGTGCTTGTGCACTCAAACTGCGTGTACTTGGTTAAACACACTCTCAGTTCTAAACTTGCTAAACAAATCATTCATAGGAAATGAATTGAAATGAGAACCTTTGGTCCATCTCAACAGGTGAACGTGTAACCCCAGGTACTATTCTTATGAGACAGAGAAAAAAAGACCTCAGATGTTATCCTGGACTGAATGTAAGCAGTTTTACAAGTCTATAAGCTTATTAAATTGTCAGTGAGAATGTTTTTTTCACTGGATATCTGTCAACAGTTAACCAGAACATTTATGACAAATCAGGATTTTTACCATCATACATTAGACAGGGGGGTGAAGAATGATCATCGCAGTTAATTTTCCAATTTAAACAATGCTCGCACCAGTATCGCGGAGGTCACGGGTTCGAATCCCGTTGAAGCCCTGATTTTTTCAGGCTTCTTCTTTCCAATTGCTTAAATTGGAAAATTAACTGC